TTTGCCAGAAATCCGGTCCCGAATAACTGTGTAATGTCATGATGATTAAAAAAACCCAAACAAACAAAAACAGTGAACGACATATATCAGTACAAATCCTGGGTAAAGGCCTTATTTTAAAAAAGGTTTTTGGGCCACCTGGCAGTGCTCAGGGTCTACTCCCAGTTTGTACTTGGTGGTGTCGGTGGGGAGCAGCGCCCACCAGGTGCTGATCTCAGAGACTAGGTGGTGTCAGGGATTAAATTGGGGTCAGCAGCACGCGGAGAAAGCACAACAACCCTGGCTGATCTCTCCCACCTCACCCTGCTGTGTTTCTGTTTTGGGGCAGGATGTGGGGAAGCTCAGGACCTACTTCCCCCTTCCTCGGTGTTTGGGGGTTGCTCCTGGCAGTGCGTGGGGAAGCGGGTCTGGGGCGCTGGGGCTGGAACCTGTACTTGGGTCATCTTCCTAACTCCTGTCTATTCCTTTCTGGAGTAGTTGAAATGAGCAGCTAAAGTATCTGGATTTCTCAAAATATTTTCTCATCTGTTTAGTGAGCTGTGTGAACTGTCCCGTGAGAAATTATTTTGGAGATATGTTTGTATTGATGTGGTTTATGAGTATGTTGAATTAGAAATCAACACAAAGGCAAAGGGTATCAGAGTTGTTCAATAAAAAGCAAACTCCTAGCAGTGATTTGAATTGTTTTTGCCAGGAATCATTTCGCTAGCTAGCTCTGGTTGATAATTTGGATGAGATTCTTAAGAATTGTAGCCAGGTCTAACTATTCTGTTGACTCGTCATCAGCTTGTCATCAGGAGTGTGGTTTTTAGGTCGGATTAACATTGTTCTCCTATCTCCTCAGACCTGTTCTTGTAATGATCTTAAAACCAAAGACAGCTTTATTTGCTAATGGTCTCAGGGATGAATGGAGAGAATATAAGCATAGATACTAGGTTCCACAATCAGATTCTACAAAGTCTGTTGCAGACCCTTTACTTGAAGGATCTCATGTACCCATGAGAGATGCTCTTAATCCCAGTAAACACCATAGTCAAGCTGTATATCTGCTACATACAGCAGACTTCTCCTTGAGTCATGTGCCTATAAAAGCAATAGCTGTCCCTTAAAACTGTTGCTTACACACTCTGTGTTTTATTTTAATTGGACTTTATTTTCCAAAAATGTATTAGCCTTCTGTTTACTTTAGACTTGTAGTACAGACCTTTTATTTAATGTTCACTTACTGAGATCCAGAATAGGGAATGACTTGCCTTTGTCAAAAAACTGAAAATGACTTGAACTACAACTTAGGAGAGGTCAAACTTTTTATTTTATTTTTTTTTTATTAGGTCTAAAGGTAAAGGTAAAGGCCCTCACGTTGTTCATCGATTTGCTTGAGCAGGCCCAGTAACGTCTCCATTGGAGACTTTGTTGTTACTGTGTTTGGCATATCGATTACGTCACGGGGAGCTTGCCAGGCTCTGCCGTGCGGGCGAGATACTCTCGGTAGCTTGCCCGGCTCTCCGAGAGGGGCGGAGGAATCGAACTCGGGTCGGCCATGTTGGCTGTGTGCAAGGCAAATGCCCTACCGCTGTGCTATCGCTCCAGCCCCGGTAAAGGCCCTCCCTTGTTCATCGATTTGCTTGAGCGGGCCCAGTAACGTCTCCATTGGAGATTTTGTTGTTACTGTGTTTAACTATTTTACACTTCCCAGCTTCTCTGTATTTTTGTGCAGTGTTTCAGTTAACTTAGATTAAGTGATCATATTTTCAATTTCCCATCTGGCAGGGTCTTCACTATTGAGTCCACATGTCGTTTTTCTTGATGCCTGTGCGTGGCTGCTTTGTTTGATCGATCTCTTTGACCTTGGTGTAGAAAGGCTTAAGTAACACCGAGGTGAGTTTTCTCAGGACATCTGTGTGACTTCTTTTGCTTTGTGTTTTGGGCCATACCTGGAGTTGCTACTTCAGGTGTCACTCCTGTGGTACCGAGGGGACCCTGTATTGACAGGGATTGAGTCTAGATTCAGCATTAAAAGCAAGTCCAGCTCATTCAGCCTTCTCTCTTTTCTAGCCCCTCAGTTGCTCTTTTTGGGGGGTGGCTACATCTAGCTGTGCTCTTGTCTCCTGGCCTCTGCATTCTGGGACCACTCCTGGTGGGACTTGAGGTACATATGTGCGGGTGTCAGGGGTAGAACCCAGGCTGTCTGTAAGGCAAGCAGCTTACCTGCTGTACTATCTCTAGCCCTTTTCAGACACCTTTAACCAGCAAAACTGATCTACCAACCCCAATTTCCACAGACTTCCTGTACCGTTTTCTGTGCCTTACCCTGGATTAATCCTAGAGGATTTATTCTGCACTTGAGCATCTTCCAGTAAATAAATTGGCAACTGTTCTGTGCATGGAAAAAACAACTTTGCAGAGAAATACGATTCCTATCCCCGAAGAACTCCCCGTGTAATGGAGAAAGGCAGATATATAAGTTAAATGTTCAGCCTTCTGTGAATGTAGGAGGGACCTTTGTGTTTCCTGTGTTTCATAATGGTGGTATTGGAGCTGGATCTTCTTTGGAGCATTTAGGGTTTGGGTATAGCCAGCTGTGCTTAGGGCTTATTTGTGGCTCTGTACTCAGGCATCACTCCTTGCAGTGCCTACATGGTGCCCAGCCTAAAACAGTTTTGACATGAACTGGACAAACTCTGTAATCCCTGTTGTATCACTCTGGGCCTGCTGCTGAATCTTGAAGGGGACCGATTGTTCACCAAGTGGAGGAGGATCAGAAGACAAAGGATGTGGACTTTTTGGTGTAGGTGTGGCCCAAACAGCCCAACATTGCAAAGGACTTTTTTTCTTTGGGGGGTGCATACCTGGTAATGCTCAGGGGTCTCATCTGGCTCTGTGCTCAGGAGACCATACTTGGTGCCAGAATTAGAACCATTGTCTCGGTCGCAGCCACATGCAAGTGCCTTAGCCTCTGTACTATCTCTCTGGGTCTGCAAAGAACTTTCTAAAGTGTTCTGGTTTTTAAACAATCTGCCGCTGAATTCCTCTTCTTCATATGACTCCCTGTTGCTCATTTGGTGTTCTAGCTCTGATGACGGAACACTCAGACCTCTCTAGTTCTGGTTTTGCTTCACTAGCTTTGGATGTATCATTAAGATGCCTACTCGATGTTTATTGAATAGCTAGTCTTGTGAAAGGAACTAGGGATGCAGCTGTGAATGAGACTGTTTACTGTGGAACAGTCAGACATTGGACAAGTGATGTTGGCCGGTGTTGATGAATCCACAGTTTCTTAGGTAATTATAATGGGCCTTGATCTTATATGTGAAATAAAGGTAAGTGAGGCAAAGAAAAGAAAGCTTTCCTGAGGAACATTTTTGAACTGGGGACTAAAAGAAGACAAAATGAGGAAAATAGCAGTTGTTTTATGGGGTGGGAGCCCCCAGAAACTTTTGACTGTAGTTTGCCTAAAAGTTTATATATATGGTATTTGATTTTTCTCTCCAGTGCAATAGTTACAAATTGTTCAGACAGATGTGACTCAAGACTTTTTGAGCTTGAAATGTACTTTGAAAGGTACATCTGAGGGGTATACTCATTACTAAGTAAATACTCATTAATAATATTAGGGGAACAATAGCACAGTGGTAGGGCATTTGCCTTGCGTGCGGTCAGCTAGGTTCGATTCCTCCGCCCCTCTGGGAGAGCCCGGTAAAAGAGTATCTTGCCTGCATGGCAAAGCCTGACAAGCTCTCCATGACGTATTCGATATGCCAAACACAGTAACAATTCTCACAATGGAGACATTACTGGGCCTGCTCGAGCAAATCAATGAACAATGGGAGGACAGTGACAGTGCAGTACTACTTTCCAATTTGAGGGACATACTCATTTATGGAAGAATTGTTTCCAGTTGTGTGATAGGTGAAATTCTTCAGCGTCTTTGAAAATTTTAAGTGAGATTAATTTGTTTGGGATTAAGTTCAAATTTTGTATATTTTATTTTGGAAAGTAATGTTACGTTGGACATTACAGATACTAAACCATTGTAGTTTTCTTACGCCTTTTTATCCTAACATTGGCTCTCTCACATCTGTTTTTGTGCTCTTATTTATTGGGTGTCAAATGTTGTTTGTATGCTAAATAAGCATTTTGACATTTCTCTCACTTATCCTCATTATTACATGATAAATGCTGTTCTTTTTTTTTTCTTCCTGTTTTGGGGCCACACTGAACAATGCTCAGGACTTACTCCTGACTTTGCACTCAGAAATCACCCCTTGCAGTGTTGGAAAACCTGAGTTGGCCATGTGCAGGGCAAGTGCCCAACCTGCTGTACTATCTCTACAGTCCCTGTTACTGCTTTTTTTTTTTAAATATTAAGATAGGGCGGAGCAATAGCACAGTGGGTAGGGCGTTTGCCTTGCACGCGGCCTACCCATTTTCGATTCCTCCATCCCGCTTGGAGAACCTGGCAAGCTGCTGATAGTATCCCGCCTGCACGGCAAAGCCTGGCAAGCTCCCCGTGGCATATTTGATATGCCAAAAACAGTAACAACAAGTCTCACAATGGAGACATTACTGGTGCCCGCTCGAGCAAATCCATGAACAGCGGGAGGACGGTGCTGACAGACAGTGCAATATTAATATGGTGTATTAGAACTTACAGCACTGTATAGTAGCTAAGTGTTAAAGAGCTAGGATTTAAATACAAATTTGTCTTCTGAGTTTGGATTTCTCTCCTATATGGTATTTGTGTTTGTTTGCGTTTTTGGTTTTTTGGCTTTGGTTTTTGGGCTACACCTGACAGAGCTCAGGGGTACTCCTGGCTCTACACTTAGAAATTATTTCTGGTTCTGCTTGGGGGGACTATAGGGGATCCAACCCAGGTAGGGCAAATGTCCTCCCTGCTGTACTATTGCTCTGGCCCCACTCATATGGTATTTTCTTTTTCATCTTGAAATAACCTTAGTTGTGGTTCACAAATCATAACTTTCTTACTGTTTTCTCTCTAGGTTTTTGTCAAGACGAGTTGGCAGAGCTTGACCCAGGCACCAGTAAGTTCTGAATGTTATCACTATTCATGTGTAAGAAAAAATATGTGTGTACTTTCAAGTGTGTAACTTATCGTTTATAAATCTTGTTTCATTGGCTCTGAGATTATTTTTGTGTGGGTGGGTCCATACCCAGCTATGATCAGGGCTTCCTCCTGGCTCTCTGCTCAGGGATCAATCTTGGCAGGCTTAGGAACCTTAAGGGGTGCTAATTGTACCTGCTATACTATTTCCTAGCCCCAACTCTGAGATTTTATTTTACTTTAATTTATAACTAGGGAAGGGCTTCTCTCTTTTCAAGTTAAAATTCTTTTTCTTTTAATATTATTCTGTGACCAGGAACTAGCAGTTTGATAGTTGACTTGCGGAAAATTTATACTTAATACTAATTTTCTTGTCCTGTATCTTTCTGTGAAACCAACAATAAAAGCAAAAATTGAATGTTTATTAGTGGATACATAATATGAACTCACAACTGCTTCTCTAAATTATTGAGTATTTTGATATAATTTCTTTAAAAGAAAGATTATACTTGGTTTAGATATTTATAATTGATAATCTTTATACTTCAGTTTAATTTCTGAAGCACCCTCATTTATGTTCTTAGAATTAAGTTATAATGGACCGGAAAGTAGCTCAAGAGGTTAAAGTCAATGCTTATCATTCAAAAGACCATTGTTCAATCCTGGGACCATATGCATCTCCCAGATACTGCCAGGAGTGAACCCCAAGAATTGATGCTTGAGAGTAGCTCCTGAGAAACACTGGGTCTGGTTAAAAAAAATTTGTTTTAAATTAAACTGATCATTTCAATGTCTGATTAAGTGTTAAGTTTCTGGTGGGTTTTTTTGTTGTTGTTTGTTTGTTTGTTTTTTGCTTTTTGGATCATACCCAGCGATGCACAGGGTTACTCCTGGTTCATGCACTCAGGAATTACTTCTGGCCGTGCACGGGGGACCATATGGATGCTGGGAATCGAACCCAGGTCGGGCCATGTGCAAGGCAAATGCCCTACCTGCAGTGCTATAGTTCCAGCCACATTCTGGTACAATTATTTACTATTAGAAATAGAACATGGGATCTTATTTTGTCCTATTGGAACTAGGACATGATACCTTATTTTGCTGTAAAGGTCAAATGATTGGAACACACCAAGATTTAGAGTGATAGTTTTCTTTTTTTGGTTTTGGGGCTACACCCAGTGATGCTCAGGAATTACTCCTGGCTCTGCACTAAGGAATTACTCCTGGTAGTGCTCAGGGAACCATATGGGATACCAGAGATCAAATCCTGGTTGATTGTGTGCAAGGCAAACACTCTGACTGTAGAGTAGTGGGTTTCAGTTGCCGAAACAGTGCCTGTCTCCAGGATTTTCTACTAGTCTACAAAAAATGTTATTGCTGCTTAACTGGCAATGGTTTTCAACTGCTGGTCAGATAGAAAAGGTTGAAAATCACTGTCTACATTTATTTTTCTAGTTCTAATAACTTTCTTTTTATTGAATTAATACTTTCTTTTATTGGACTAATATTTATTGTGGGAAATAATAAATTCCACAGTGCGTATAAAGTATTGGTGTGGAGGAATTATCTTTTTAGATATCGTAAAGTTCAGAATCAATTTTGTAGGTAGTATAGACTTGGTTTACTCTTCTATCTCAATATCTATCAATGAACACACTATCTTCTTTGTTCTCTTTTATTTTTGGAGGGTAGTTGGAAAGGGTTGGGTTTGAGCCACAGCTAGCTGTGCTCCGACCTTACTATTGGCTCTCTGCTTAGTAATTACTTCTGGTGCTGCTTGAGGAACCTTATGTGGTACCAGAGATTGAACTAGGATTGGTCACTTGAAAAGCAAGCACCTTATGTTCTGTACTATCTCTCTGGGCCTCTTTTTTTGTTTGTTTTGGGACCACACCTGGTGATGGTCAGGGTTTGCTCCTGATTATGCGTTTAGGAATCCACTCTTGGCAGTGCTCAGGGAACCATATGGGATGCTGGGGAGGACCTAACCTAGGTTGGCTGCTTGCATAGCAAGCTCCTTACTTGTTGTACTCTTTCTCCAGTCCCTCTGTCTTTTTCTTTTTAATAATCTTCATTCAGAGGAGGAAAGGGTATATTCTTGAGTCACTGTTCTTATAAGCATATTTAAAATCTAGGTAGGACATTAAAATGACCTGTAATCTTTCAGAGATGACTGCCAAAACACACCAGATAATTAATCAATTTTTAGTATGTATGTCTTTGTGCCATGGATTGAAGCCAGGGCCTCAAGCATATAAGGCATGCATTCTACCCCGAGCTACCCTCCTTTGCCTTATGCTAGATCATAGAGAACTCTATTAAACATTAAGCATTTAAACATAAAAAAGAGTGTTCTTGCGGGCTGGAGTGATAGCACAGCGGGTAGGGCGTTTGCCTTGCACGCAGCCAATATGACCAACACAGGTTCGATTCCCAGCACCCCATATGGTTCCCTGAGCACCGCCAGGAGCAATTCCTGAGTGCATGAGCCAGGAGTAACCCCTGAGCATCGCCGGGTGTGACCCAAAAAGCAAAAAAAAAAAAAAAAGAGTCTTCTCTGCTCCAGGCCCGTAGGTAGCAATATATAAATAACCAAGTATAGTTCCTGCCCTCATATTAACAGTCTGTTAGAAACTATTTCTGTGTCTGGGATTGTTTGAAAAATGACTTCTTTAATCCTCAAAGTTGCCACATAGTTCTAGACTTACTGTTCTTTTTTGTACTGTATAGTATTTAAAAGCTCTTCCCTACCTTTTAGAAGAGTCCTTGATCGTTTCATAAAAATTGTTTAGTTTTTTTCTGGACACCAAGTAATTATAACACACTTAACTCTTTTATGTAGAATTCCTAACTAGATGTAGTGATTTATGGTCTGTTAATTCTGTGACAAAGAATAGCTATTAAATAAATTGTTGTTGTTGTTGTTGGAAGTGGGGGTGGCGCTTAGCAGTATTTGGGAATGACTTTTGGTGCTGTCCTTGGAGTCCACTCCCAGCAGGGCTAGGGGGACCAGGCAGGTGCCCAGTATTGAACCTGGGGCTCCAGTATGAAAAGCATGTGTTCCAACCCTTTGAGCCATCTTCCCCGTCCTTAAATCATAATTTTATACATTTGGATAGGATGGAAATCACCTACAATCACTTTCCTTTTAGAAATTGTACTTATAGGGGCTGGAACTATAGTACTGCGCCTAGGGAGCTTGTGTTGCTTGCAGCCGACTTGATTAGATCCCCAGCATCCCATATGGTCCCCAGAGCATTGCCAGGAGAGTCCAGAGTAAGTCCTGAGCATTGCTGGGTGTGACCAAGAAAACCAGGAAAAAGAAAAGTTTTTATAGTATGTGGGTCACAGAGAGTATTGCCCATATAAGCCAATTAAAAGTCTAACTTTCTGAAGTCAGTGTTTCGTTCTTTCTGATTTATATTTATTTTTGAGCCAGCCGTCTCCTTGGTTTCTGTGCCTTGTAATTCTTAGGGGAAAAAACCCAAAACCCCAGTACATAAATATCTATTGCTTTTGGTTTGGGCCATACCTGATGATGCGCATGGGGCAGTTCTTGGCTCTTCAGTCAGGAATTATTCCTGGTGGAGCTTGGGGGATCATATGGGATGCAGAGATTGCAAGGAAGCTCCCTGTCTGCTGTGCTACCTCTCTAGCTCCCATACATACCTCCTGTTACAGGTTGGCAGAAACAAAAATTTATCATCTTGGTTTGTGTCAGTCTTGGGGTTCAAACGAGCACGCTCAGCCCACCCAGTTCTAGCAAGTGTCAAGACTGAGAGAAGCTATGTGTATTGTGTTCAGTTGCTTATGGTCGGTGATACTGCAAACTCCATGGCTTCTAACTGGGCAGAACTAAATCTCCCGAGTTAATACTCTTGAAGTATTCGATTGAGTACAATAGGGATTTTTCTGTGATGCATCTTTGGAATTTGGAGGCCCCAATGTCTCCCATGGTCCCATACCTGCTACCCTCCAGAGAGAGGGGCCAGCCTGCTCCTACCTCACTCCTGCTTAGTTTGGATCAGGGAATATCACTGTGGCTGATTTCCCATTAGGCTTCGTAGTGGTTATAGATAGCAAGTTTGGGACAACAGGTACGATGGGTTGGAGCTGGATGAAGAAATGACTGTCTACTTCAAGTGGACTTTAAGTGGGCACCTTCTCAGCACATTTGGGCAGCTATGCTTGGAATATGAGCCACTCTGCACACTTGCTGCTTTCCTATGATTCCTGGACTTCCTGGAGTCCAATGTTACGGGGCAGGTTCAGGCTAAGTTCATTTCTACAAGAAGCATCTCTGTACCCTGCCCATTAGCATAAGTTAGGGACAAGAGCATCCAAAGGTCAGGAGAAGTTCAGAACAGCACAACCTTTCTGTGCTTCTGTTTCCAAATAACCCCTGTCTGCCCTGTTCCTCCGGTTTTTTTCCCTTGGCTGTGGTGTTTACCATGTAGTTGTAAAACTCAAGAGAACAAGGACTAACTTGATACCGGGGAAGTAAGAAAATAGAAGGCATTGTTGCTTAAAACAGGAGAAATAATTGATTTATGTGTGGGGGCCAATTAGGCTATAAAATAGGCACAGGAAAGGGACCTGTGACTTCAGGACAGTTACTTGCTCTGATTTCTGCCCACAGTTAAGGGGCTCCCCAATAAAGGCTGTCAGCTTTCTAGGCTAAATTATTAATTCCTTTCATGCCGCTCAGGATTGTAAACAGCACATAATACAGGAAAACAATTGATACTGTTCAGTTATTGGCCAGATAGAAGGTCAAAGGGTAAATAGTTGGATTACCAGCAGCTGTTCTTCCTATCCAGTCAAACTTTTGTCCCTTGTTATCTGTTTTAGAAAAGTTATTCTCGAGTTTTTGGCTCCATATAGTTAAAACCTGTTTGTCTTACAAAAGAATCCTGCAGATAATTGGAAAACAATTATTGACCAGAATTGAAAATATTTTTATTTTAACCCAGTTTTGAA